GTTCCCGCAACAGTCGGGTCTTTATACGGGAACGACCCGGACACTCCCGCAACATTCTCCAAATTACTTTAAACAACATTTTTGCGGTTACAACAACAACAACAACATGTAGAGAATATAAAAAAGGACAAAGATTACGAAAAAATACAAAAGAATTTTTTTTTCGGATCAACTTACCGAACTTTTGCTAATCCCCTCGTATACCTCTAAAGCGATTTCCATATATTATTCATTTTATATGCATTTAAAAATGTAGTGAAACTCTAAATTTTCCTTTTTCTACTACGTTTAAAATCCATATCAAAATAAGTGCGTGGAGAAAGTCCCACACCTGGTAATTATTACACCGAAGTCTTATTTCGGTATTGTTTTTTTAACGTAATAGAAATGGATAATATAGAGAACCACTTTTACCGGAAAGAATACCGGAGATCGATTTACATAAAATTTGGCACAGAAATAGCTTTGGGCCGATATTACTTTGTGAAAAACGGGTTCAAGGAACCAAAAAAAAAATCCAACGGTCGATTTGCTTATAGAGTAAAATTGTGATATTTTATAAATATTTAAGCATTTCACCATAATAAGTATGTTAAATATTAAAAATTACGTAAAGTCGCGGGCATAGTCTCGTCTGTATATATACATTAACACCAAAAAGTTTCCGGAAAATGTTTTCTTTTTTTCGATATTCTCGGTTCATCATGAGTTCGTTCCCACGGGACAGACTTTCCGAAAATTTTAATGACGTTAATGCGCCATCGCACCGAGCTGTTGTTCTAACCGATTTTAAGATCAAAAACTCGTTTAATACCATCGATCAACCAACGAATTCACCGGATTTGGCTCCATGCGATTTTCACTTTGTGGAACCCGTTTCGACTCGATTGAAGCCGTAAAAAAAAGTCGCAAGTCGACTGATTTTAACGGCTGCTGCAACAAACTGGTTGACAGATCACGCTCATTTTTGGCATCGTAATTAAGGACTAGTGCAAAAAAAAAATGGTGCCGGGGATATGTTCCGTATATGCAACCGGGAAGTGTACCTGAGTGCGATCTTTTAGTGCCATTTCCCAATTTTTTTTTCAGTAAATTACATTAGAAGGGCCTTCACCCAACCAATATGATTTTTTTTAATTTCACCATGAGTCTAATGCTGCCTTCATGAAAACAACAAAAGACATTAGAAAGGCTGCGTCAACACCAATTAAACCAAAATAATTTTTTCCAAGGCGGTTTTTTTCCAAAAATAAAAATTGGTTTTAGTTGTTTGTCAATATGTTTAAAGAAATTTGATTGTGGAACTCCATACATATTTCCACAAATATTTCAGAATCTTAAAATGCTTAAAAATTCCATTAGCAAATATTATTGAACGTAATTTCCACTCTCTTTTAAAATCACTTGTGCGTATAAAGCTCTTAATTTTGGCCCTTGAAGTTATTATTATGGCCTAGAACATGTCCAGAACTTAGATAAATGGCTTAAAAGGGTCGTGAGAAAAAAATTGTTTTTTGATGATAATAAAATTATTTTTTTTTTTTGAAAATCGTAATAAATAGAGAACTTAAACTTGTAATTTCGAAGTATATTTTTAATATCAACATTTTCTAAAATAATGAATACGATACCATCCTAAGGCCTATTCATTATACCTATCGTCCTGTGTTCGGCCTGTGGGTTTATTCAACGCTGGTCTACGCCAAATCATCCTTGAAAGGATATTCGTAAAAGCTTTGATTTCGTTTCTTTATTTCAAAAATATTTGAAATTTATGTGCGTATATATTGACTGGTCGTGTTGTTTTTAATGCTTTATCAATGAGTATAAAATTTGTTTTTTGTGTTGGGGAACAAAAATATGAATTATAAAAATTATATTGTTTAATTTTAAGCACTAAAAATTCACTGAAAATAGGCAGGCAAGTTGGTTGCATTCTCCTTTGCTTCGTAATTTTTTATTTGACTAAAGAGTAAAAAGGTCTTGTATTACTTTCAGTTATCAGACTCATACTAAACGTAAGATGCCACAAAGAAACGGAAACCTTCTGGCGGGTAGAGATCACCCATTGCTTTACTAGGAGGGAATAATGTACATAAGTCATAATCAACGGTAACAGAGAAGATATCCATAACTATATTGACGGGTATGAAATTTCGGGAGGCACAGTTCTTCTATGACCACCACAAAAACCATGGCAGCTTCAAGCTCAAAGACTATAATCCTTTGTTTAAGCAGATATTGTGAAAGTTACTAAGGATGCCAAAAAGGGCAACCGCATTAATGGGGGAATCCATCAGGTTTCTGTTCAGACAGCCAATCGGCAAATAAGGAAATTTAATGTGTCAACGCAAAGTCCAAATGTGTGAGAATATCTAAAAAAGATAGTTAACAGATTCTCACTTGGAAACATAGTAAATTTTACTTGAACCCAAGGGGGCACATGAGTGTAGAAGGCATTGAGAAGGTAAGCGAGCTGGCTCGCGCTGCCGCTGGCGCCATGGACTGTCTAAGCATTGTAGCTGAGTGCTTTCAAATATAATAAAGTAGTGAACCGCCGTAGCACGTACCACTGAATGTTTGACAGCAAATGTATTTTTAGAAAGACCAAACTGTTGCTTGTATACAAAAAAAAAAAAAAAAATAAAAAAATTGATAATAATATTCCTGTGGGTCTGAACCATCTACCACTGAGATATCATCTCTACTTCCACATATTTCAAAATTATACTTAAAAATTTCGCATTTTCGAATTTCATTTGCTCGTTCATGACTGTTATAATTCCAAATTAACTGACATAGGCCTAGTTCACGGATGTCGTGATACGAAAAACACAATTTTTTTGCATTATGAGTTATACGTTCGTACATATTGTAATACGACAAGCTGGTAAATCCACCATTATTGACCTGAGTCAATTACCAAATGTCAAAACTTAGAAAGTACCCGTTTGAATGATCAGCCAAGACAAATATAACTCATCGAGGTCATCTAATGGGAGGCCCAGAAAACGTGATGTTTGAACGCTTTTGGACCAAAGGGAAAGTGAGTTAGTTGAAAGTGACATGCAAAGTGGTTGTTAGTGTCGTGCGAAGCCTTATTATGTATGTCGGGCTCAAGTCTGGATAGGATATTAATTTTGCCAGTATTACTCGGAAGTTGAAGCTCTTAGTCTACCATAGATAGTGCTTGGATTTCGAGGACGCCATTTACAGGCGGAGAGTTCATGCAGTTGTTGACGAACTCTTGGGGAATGGCGTTTAAGGTCTATTGTGCTTTATGGAATCGATATAGTCTAGTACTCTTTTCCTGTTGTATGACGTTGGTCAACGTTCAGCTTGAAGTAAATATCTGACGTTGGCGTGGTATTTCAAATTGACGTACGTTAAACAGTGAGAAGATGAAAAGAATACCGAGCTATTGTTGAGCGGTGCCTACGCCAATGTAATACTATAGAAGTAATAATCACAACGTAAACGCACATTACGCAACAAATAATTGAACACTCACCACCTTGTATGTGTATCGGCGGCCCGAGACGTTGCTATGTGTAATCTGAGATTTATAGATCTTTTTCTCTCTGCTCTACGCTCCTCTTTCTGCTTCCTCCACCCATATCTTCTTAATTCTTACATAAGTAATTATTACACTTCTAGCTTAATCAGTTAATTGTTGAGTGGGTTGGTGATGTCAGGTCAGTCATATAAGATAGTCATTATTTTAAGATGCTGTATTTGTGCTTTGCAGCAAATTTGTCAGCGATCACATTCTGACCGGACATCCGTTATGAATTGAAAGCGTTGTTGGTTTCCCTAAAAAAGTTAGTTGTCATAACATGAACTTTTTAATTCGAAAGGCGATAGTTTTGTTAATGTTTCTTAATCAATTCTACGTCACAAATATGAAGAAAAAATTTTGTAGCGCCTTTCCTAGTAACGCTCCTTCAGACCAGTAGTTTCACCAACCAAAACTTTGCTCACGAGAGATCTTCAGAAGGATATGTCAGCTCGGCCGGAAATCGCTTCAACGGTTACAAAGCGCAAATTATATTTATATATTAAGCACAGTATCTTGGAATGCTGAAGGAGCTGGAACACCTCCAATGCAAGAAGAAAAGAGAGAGCATTCTTACGGGTGTGATAAGGGGACAACTACTCTTGATGAAACGCTGGTATACTACTACCATTGTAAGTGACAACTGATTGAGATGCCACGTCTTTCATAGTGCTTCCAAATGCAGCCTTACGCAGGTGACACTCAAATGTTTCATAAAATCGGGCGAATTTTTGGTAAAAGCCTAGTTGAGTTATACATACGAGGGAACACAAAGGGCTACTACAATGTCTTAGGTGCTGTCAGCTTCTTCTCTTTCAATCAACCAACCAGTTTAAATTAGTAAAACCTGACCCAGCAAGTGGTATTAAGGCCGCAAAGCTTGCAGTCTCATGAAACAAAGAAAGAAAGAACCCTACTCTGTGCGGAGGGCATCAGTAGTAAGACCAACGCATCTTGTGGTGGCCATCTATGACTAAAGCTTCAGATATTAGTTTTTATTGCCATTGGGGCCTTTGACAATATGGGATAGATACGATTTCATACCAAGCCATACAGATCGATGCGATCCATGCGGCCACTGAGAATTAATTCTACACTGATGGCATTATGAATGCAGCCCGAAAGCTGGAAAGCATAAGTTAATAGTTTCTCCTGGTCAATATGTAAATAGTACTTGATTGAAATTAATTTTCTATACGGAAAAAATTTATTTCAAAATATACAAAAAAGCTATACTTCGAAATCAGATTCTCAAGGACCGTTTATGGAAACCAGCGAAACTTTTGAGCGTGATTTCGGCAAAAAATTGTTTTTTTCTTTTTTTAACAGTACACCATACATGTAAATATAAGATTTTTGCAGATTTCTTCAATATACTAACCAAGTGAGTAGGACAAAGTAGTCTTGTAACTAGTAACCAAATAAAACGAAATAAAAGAAATTGTGTTTGTTGTATTTTTTTTTGTTCTAACTTGTTTTTGTTTGTAAAGATTGTATTATGTATGAATTCAACGTTTACACATTCACAAAATCATTATTTTATCATGTATTTACATACTTATGTTTGTATGCGCGTAATTTGTAATTAGCGTGTTGTGTTCTTTGTTGTCTTTAACATTGATTTTAATTAAATTTTGAAATTACTTAATTTAATTTGTTTCGCTTTTTTTACTTTCAATTTATTTGACGGTGATTTTAAGTGAATACAAAAAAATATTTACGCCATATTTAAGCACTATAAATTAAAGACAAAAAATTAATAAAAAAAAAAAACATATGATATCAAACAAACATAGAAACGAAATATGTGTGTATATGTATATACGCGCTACAATAATTTGCATTTGTTAATAACAATTAAATAATTAGTTTATTTAAAATTACATTTCATATCATATCAATTAGTTTAATTATATACATATATATATGTATATGTATGTATGAATGTATATAATATATAATTTGCTTATTAACTGAAAACTTAACTGTAAATATGTATATAACATACATATATATATAAATGAATACGCAATCAACACGCATTTTGAACGGCTTACTCACATATTATTAGATTCTTTCTTTATACCGTTATTTATTTTTCTTGTTTTATTACAACATTTATTGTTACACAAAAAAAAGAAAAAAAAAAAGAATTCACATTTTGATATTCATTAAATTGTTACCACCAAGAATCAATTCACATGCACAATACATATAGGTGTGTATGTATATATATATATATATATATATGGATATATGTATGTATGTCTGCATGCGTTTTTCTTTATTTAAAAAGTATTTATATATATAAATATATATGTATGCGTGTGTTATAAAGCATGTGCGGCGCGCACTTCTCAAAGCGTCATTCTGCGTTCGGCGGATTTTCTGGGTATGTACACAAATACATACATACATATGTATATAAAACCAACAACATGCTGCAGATTTGGGTTTCTCCTTTTTAAATATCATACAACAATAAAATGCGCATATATCTATGCTAGTTTAATTGTTTACAAATATTTGCAATGTTCATATGTATATATGTATGTATATGGTGAATGAAACATATTTAAATTGAAATTGTTTTAAGTTTCCGACGCAAGTACATAATTTACATTCGTAATAGTAAATAATGTACAATTGAATTCATATTTTTTTGGTTATATAAAATACCGTAAAAATGAACTTTTTATTTTGGCTAATATTTAGCATTTTTATAACAAACACTTCCGTTCACGTGCAATATGACCTTTGGATTTTTTTTAGACCAAACATTTTCTTCAGAAATAAAAGTTTTTTTTTTCAATTTTTTACCGATTACGCATAAACCATTTTTCGGCGTTATTTTCATGTTTTTTTTTTATTATTGCAAAACGACATTTTAAACACTAACTTTCTAATGCACAATTCTACAACAAATTACTGCGCTACAATTTTCGCAACAATAATTATATTAAATACATTTTTTTTTGCTTGAGTTTAATTGAAAAATAGCCGTACATTACTGAAAAATAATTGCAGTAGAAAATTTTTGACCTCCTAAAAGTAGGCAACACCAGGCGTGCTTGTAAAGTACTTACATACATACATATAGTACTATATTTAGTCTAAACAAATGGCATTTAGCCCAGCACAAACGCCCACTTCCAGGAGGCCGTCTACGAAATTTTCCAGCACAATTGCTCTTTAGCAAGTCGACTTTTACATTTTTGTTGTTGCATAAATACACAGGCTAGCTTAATAAATGAGGCAATAATGGAGGACACAATGCTTTGTGTGGGAAATAGACAATAATAATAATATGCAGCACAAAATGCTCTTGTATTTATTGTATTTATATATGCATGTGTGTGTATGATGCATTTTTTTAAAATTTTTTTTTTTTGGCGGTTTGTTTGTGTTTGTGGCGGTGTCTACATGTTTCTTCTTGTCTACTTTTACAATTCAATTGACTCCACGCAGCACTCAGTCTGCGATTTGTGGTTGCGTTTGCGTGTACATGGTTTAGTTAAAAAGGTGTCTTATGCGCGTAAAAAATTGTATTCAAACTACGCGTCATCATCGTCGTCAGCAGCGTCGGCAATCGCAATAATCATCATCAGTATGTATATAAAAAAAAAAATAATAATAATAATAACAATTCATTGTTTCGTTCTAAATGACTCGCTAAATCAACGCTTAATGCATAAATGTTATATTATTAACTTATATGTATGTGTGTGTATATAATATATGTATGTGTGTTATAGTTGCAAACGTGTATTTTAGCATTATATCCTTCCTGCCTTCCTGCCGTCCGTTGCCGCCCTTACAAGTAGCTCGCTGCTGCCACGTTCTGCTTTGAGAAGGTTTGCTGACTTTGATTTTGTGTTTTGCTTATTCTTCTTCTTTTTTTTTGTTTTTTGTTTTTCACTTATATGTATTATTAATCGGTGATAGACACACAAAAATAAATGTTTAATTATTTCCTTATTTCTTTTACATTATAGTTTTTTTTTCTCTTTTAATTAATATATACTTTTAGTTAGTTTCTTCTTTCTCATTAAATATTTATATATATATGTATATGTATGCATGTGTATATGTATATGTATTTCCACAGCGAAATCTTAAACAAATGCCCAGCATTCGAGTGTTTTGATAACAAAGTCTTCTTGCGGTGCCAATGGCTCATTGCCGTATGTGCTGCAGGATTGTGATCGGCCTTGATTGAGGTCACCGTCGAGCCACAGGCCAAAGCGACCACTGAAATGATAAAAGACAAACTTATTGTAGTTGATGATGGAGAGAAATATTTAAGAAAATTAGAAAATAAAAATAATTAATTATATTAATTTTTTTTAATAAAAAAAAATCTCCAAAATATTGAAAAGCTGATTTAATTACACCACTTTTCCGGAAAGATACGCGAATTCCAAAGAGCGAAGATACAAAAAAAAAATATTTAGTTTATAGTTTTTTTTTTCGATTACTCAAAGTATTATTTGGCAGCAAAGCTCGATGATAGGAAGAGAATTGGGTACAATTTTGGCGCCAATATTTGAGACTGCACTCATATATGTATATGCGTGTATGTGTAACTCGTAGGGCTAACCACTGTGGGTTGGAGGTTCAAGAAATTACCAGCGATAAGACGTGCCCTGTCGTAAGAGGCCATTAAAATCCAATAATTCCCGGAACGACGTCAACGGTCACATTTAGGAAATTCTCAAAAGACAATAAGGAAAATATTTTGGATTTATAATAACAACCGAATACAAGTATGTCAGGTGTGGACTGTGGACCGAAATGGGCACCTGCTTTTTGAGGTGCTTATTTTAACAATAGCAACAAAAGATAATTTTGTCATAGAATTATAGTTTTTTTTAGTGTTTTTGTTGTGTTCATTGTGAGATTACTGAAAGCAGAAGCGGAAAATCAGAAAATTTCTAGCTGACCAATTGGAAAGATCCACCCCGCTTTTGTTCTGTGGTGCTGGGTATTGAGTGCTTAGGTTTAATACTACCATCCTGATATGCCTAGGTGGTGGATCGGCTTTCGGTGGATATCTGTAAGGATGCTTAAATACCCTAATACCCACCCTCCTTAAGGGGCATCCCTTTATAGTTCCCAGAGTGGCGTTTGAGGATCTTTTTATTGTTCTGTGCAATGGTGGTGGTGGCAATCGCAGTCGTATGCTGATTTGGTGAAAATTATAACTGGCCTAGTGCATAGAATAGCTGGGGATTTTCCATGTTGTAGTTGTCATAGTGGCGCTTTGAAGAATTTGGGGAAAGTTCGGCTAGTGAGCAGTTTACTTTCAAACAAAGCTCATCAATATGCTGGCCACAGGCAAATATCGAGCAGTCATCGACAAATGAGTTCAAAGCCTTCTGGTGTTGAAGAGCTTCGTAATACGGAAATTTAAAAAATGGTGAGGAAAGAACAGCAGCCTGCGGAACTTTTTTGCGAATTTTTTGTCAGTTTAGCATTTTTACTTTATTGAAGATTGTCGATGGCTCAGGAAATACGATCCACTCCACCAACATCGAGAATACTTTAATCTAGCATTGCATAACCGACCATTTCAGAAGCTGCTGTATGAATTCGTGCTACCAGTACCGTTCACGAGTAGGATCGAATCGGGTGTTTATGACGTTGTGACGGTGCAGTTGTGGATTAAAGTTCCTGACCGTATGGGTTGATGAAATTGGATGCTTGGGTTTGGCTTGTGACTGTTATGTCTTTGCTTATATCACTTTCAATTAGACTAACGGTTTAATTATAAACGTATACATATATAATTGACGCTTTGTAATCGCTTAACCAATTTGTATCGTGCGTCTTGATGTTTGTGTTTTGATAATTGGAGAAACCTACAGTTTTGTCTTAGCCGCATCAGAAATATTTATATTACGCTTTTCGTTACAAATCGAATCAAGTGCAAAATATGTAGTTATTTATATATATATTTGAATCTTATAAACTTACTCTCCAGCACCGATCGATAAGCTCTCCATATTGCCCTTAATGAAATATAAATTTTCACCGGTCCAATGGAACACTTTAAAGCTGGGATTAAATTTGTATAGCAGAGATTCGCCGGTGCCATAAAAATGGTCGGACACATGCAGGGAGCAGGATGTTAAAGCGCCAAAGACCTGCAAGCAAACAAAATGCACATACATATATATATAAAAATACATTTTTACACGTTACAAAATGAAATTTAACAAACTCACATTGTTGTCTGTATCTTGTATGACGATTAATATGGGACTTTCAAGTTTTTGCATCTTTCGGTAGAGCGAGTTCAGCGAGAAGCCATGTTGGGATGTGCTGAAAATCAATGACCACGAATAGCCTTCTGCACGTGCGGGTAGGTGTCCACAAAGTTTTTCACTAAACAATGAGAAATGAAAGAAAAAAAAACGATATTAAAATACATGAAAGTAAATAAATAAACAAATTTTAAATATTTTGTGTCATGTTACTGAATGGCACCGCTGTTTATGGTAATTTGTAAAAAAAGAAAAAAAAATAATAATAATTTGCATATATAAATATGTACGAGTATTTATGTATATAGAAATGCACAAAATATGGTTAAATGATTTTTAAATTAAAATTAGGGAATTCACAAGCAGCCGTAGTCGTGGCTATTGAATTTAAGCGCGTTGTAAAGTCCAACGTGTCAACACACTGCTGTGACATTTTATGCTAAAATCCTTAGAGACGGCAAGAGAAAAACACAAATAACTTGAAAGTAATGCCATTAGGCCGCTTTTATTATTGGCAAAACATTGGAACAATCGACTTTCACAAGCTTCTCTGGAGGCCAATTCTTCACCAGCCAAATCATTCGCCATAGGCAGAAACAGCTGGTAATCACTTAGTACAAAGTTCGGATTACAAGGTGGATGCATAAGAACCTCCAAGCCAAACTTTCGGAGCTTATGTCGAGTCACCATCGATATGTGTGGTCTGGCGTTCTCCTTATGAAAAACACTTCCTCTTCCGTTGCCCAAGGCTTTGCGCTACCGTTCAATTGCTTTTTTCAGTGCGATGATTGAAAAGTTTGATCATAGCAACGCAGCTCATACTGGCTGATTTGGCGAAAGCCAATCCTACCAAAAACACAACAAAACCTTTCCTGGCCATCAATATTGGCTAGGAGACTGTTTGTACTGGCTCATTGCCCTTAGACCACGACCGATTTCGTTTGAAGTTGCTGCAACTGATTTACTTCTTATCACCAGTCAGCACCCGCTTCAGCAATGGGTAGATGTGGTTACGATTCAGCTGCGATTTGCGGTTCATGAGATTATTTCTCGTTAACTCAGTTGGTATCTATGCAGCGATCTTCTTTATATGCCCAAATTTTTTCAAGTTGTTCCATACTGTTTTTTATTGCAGACATATTAAATGACTTGAACTACAATATATATACGAGTGTATAGGAACCAATGTGAAGTACTTTAACACTTTCTTCAAAATGTAAATAAACAGCTGATGGTGTATTACACGCACGACGAATACGACAAATACAATACAACATATTGTGAATTCCCTAAATACATTTGGAAACTGTGTAAGCACATTAAGTTTATATTTCTCGTTTGTGAAAATCATTAAATAATTTTTGTTTTTAAATAAAAATTTGTATATGTACACTCATATTTTTGCATTAAATACTGACGTCACAAAATATATCGCACTTTTAATTAAGAATTTTATTTTTATGAATAAATACATTTGCATCGAACGAGAAATTAAATCGCCAAAAAATAATGTAAGCAGCGAAAATGAGTAATTCCAAATTTGTTTACATTAAATGCCAAACAAATTTCAAAACAGGTACCAAAAGTATGAAAAAATATTGGAAAAAAAAAATTTTATACAAAATTTCCTCTACGCAAAAGTACGCTAAATTTAAAGTGAAAAAGTGGAAATTTTTGGTGAGGTGCTTTTGTCACAGTAATTTTGAAATTTGGTAATAAAAAATATATAAAAATAATTATATAATTAAACATGATATATAATATTTCTAATTATTTTAATTATTGTGACAAAAAACATTGCATGAAGCACTGGAGACTGAGCTTCAAAAACAACGGCGCTAATTAATTATGAGCCACATTCGATTTTTTAACTCCAAAGACTGAACTTCCACTTTGTATTGCAGACTGACTAAGCAATTCTGTTGAAATTTTCATTGGGAATTGAATTTTCGAAATGTTGAGTATATAAATATTTCTCTAGAAGCTTTCTCAGAGCATTAAAACAGTTGAAATGGTAGAAGTTACAGCTGATATTTCGGAAACCACCACGTTTGGCTCATCACACTTATTTTTCAGACACCCATATGCGAACCAATGGTTATCCTAACAAGGTACGTGTGCGACGGGTTCACTTATTGTTGTTTTTCATTTTTTTCTTCTTTTTTTCTACATATCCACGATCAAGTGTGTTTGTAAATTTGTCGTTATGCAGTTTTTTTTTGTTAAAATTTCGTTTATGGTTCTTTCTCAAGTATTTCTTTATTAGATGCGCTGGACACGGGAGTAAACTTTTGATTTCCGTTCGGGGAAAAAGTGTGAGCTCGAGATTTGAACGGAAGTTGAGTGGGGAGACGCGCTGCTAATTTGCACATACCTTTAGGCGCAGCATATTTGAGAATGTTAAATTTGTATTCAAAACTGAACTGAATGGTCATAGTGCATTCAAAGCACCCCCTGCGGGTTAGGGGTGCAGGAATTTAGCCGTGGTAAGGAATGCCTGTTGTAAGAGGTGACTAAAATCCAATTGTTCCCGCGACAGTTGGGTCTTTATACCGGAACGAACTGGATTTTTATCCGGCCAAGGACTGTCCCTCCTGCAACATTCCCCAAAAAGTACTTTGGGGAATATTTTTGCGGTTACAACAACAACAACCATTCAAAGCAAAGAAAGAAAAAGAATTTTATATTAGTATTACTCATGAAGGCTGAGAGCCAAAGATTTACGAAAATATGTATGAAATAATAATATAAATAACCGTAGATGCTGCTAAATTATCGCATTGGTCTTCAGTCCATTGAGCAACGTGAAACTGTAACGGATGTTAGGATATTTCAGTACTTGATCCAGCAAAGTATTTTTGTAAATAAAATACTGTTCAAAGAATTGCGGAAAATGTTTAATTCCTGCGGACTGTGTCGAGTTGATGTTAATGGCTGTTCGAACCTACTTGGATTCTGAAAGAAAAAAATCGGTAGATGGTCCACCCTCAAATGTATTTGTGATAATTTCGTCGTTAACCAAGGGACAGTACTATGTATGTACTTGTAAAATTCACACAAATGTACATGCGTATATCAATATCATATATACTTCATTTAAATTATATACTTTTGTAAGCATAAAATTAATTAATTGACATTTATCATTACATATATACACCAGATTCACTTACCGATGCTCTTCTGTGAGAATTTCTGTTGTGCCAATTAAATCTGGTATGGGGAAGTCCAAGTCAAAGGAACCGGTTGCAAATAGTGATGCTTTACGATAATCATCTGTGCTCATAGACAACACCTGTTATGTAATAATTGAAGAAAATTTTCAAATAAAAAAATTGCGAATTAGTAAATTCGTAAATTTAATTAAACCATATAAAAATCAGTTATGTATATAAGTGTGCTTGTGGGGTATATATTTTGGGGGGAGGGGGGGGGGTGGTGGTAGAATAAAGAAGTAAGCATAACCTAGCAAATTAAATACGTGTAGTTACATACAATTACATCGTCAATCAATCAGTCAAACCATTAATTAAATACAATACAATTCAATTCAGTGTTTAGGTGAAGCAAATTTGCTGTTCTTATGTAATACGAGTGTATGAATATCACATACATATTTAAACAGGAATACTAAGAGATTTGATAATAGTAAATATTGCGTGATTATTAAGAGTGAATATATACATATATATATTTAAGCATATACTCGTATAAATATATAAATATTAACATTAACTACTATCCGCTTGCTGTTTGCTGTTGGTGTCTTAAAAAATTACAATGCATACTCGCGAAAGTATGTGAATAATTTGTGAAACTTACATACATAAATTGGTATTAAATAAAGAGTAGTGAATAATTAAAATAAATAATAAAATATGCAACTATTCTGTGAAACTTAAATTTTTCATTTCAACTACAAACTCGCTTGGTGGAAAAAAAAAATAAAATAAAATTAAATGTTTACGTATAAATAAAAAGCTAATGATAACAGTAAAAGTAAGTTTACTATAAATTAATAATAATTAAATTATAGAAATACTGCATAAAAAAATTCTATAAATTAACGACAAAGAAATTATATTAATATTATATATATAAAATCATTGGAAAAAAACTTCAACCTACGGAACTGATGGGCTTCGTTTGAAATTGATTTTCTTGACAAAAAAAAATACGTCAATTTATTTAAATTACATTATGTTAATATTAATAATAAACTGCCGAGCATATTTCTTTTGCTCGAGTCGATTTAACAGCGATTTTCAGGAAACCGGAATTAGCTTCAAAAACTATAAATTTGTTCTGATTTTAGCAAATTTTTCAAATGTTCTGAATTTCAGTACAGCAGACTAACTGTTAAGTTAAAATATTTTTATTTTAATTTAATAAATTGTGCTTTGCTTTGGATAAAGAATGCCTTATATGGCAAAGGCTTGCAAAACTTTTCAGAAAGCTTTTTAAGACACATTGTAAGCGATTTCAGCAACTGTTTTCAATTTTTGCGGAGAGTCATTTTATTATTTTTTTAACTTAAAAGATTCTCAAAAGATTGAGCTTATTGAATTTATTTATATATTATTTTTAAACATTCCTACAGTCCATTAAATCTTTATAGAAATATGTCCTAGCTTTAAAAAATTTTGAAGATTTTTGGAATCAATTCTGAATTTCTAGCTTTGCATTTTATATAGGGTTTTATAAAAATTTAGAGCCTGGAGTTTGTTATAATGTTTTTGAGAAATAACTCATAGCCTTAAAAATGTTTGAAGCTCTTCTAAGGCTCTTTAGCACTAATTTCAAGCTTTAAGCTTTATATACACACAATAAGAAATAACTCATAGTTTCAAGCTTTAGACGTTTCTCTTTTTCATTTTACATTTTATGATTTTATTTTATTTTTTATTTATTTTATCGTTTTATATTTATTTTTTTATATTTAAATTTTATTTTTATAATTTATTTGTCTTTTTTCTAATTTTTGGTTTTTTTCATATTAAATTGTTATTTTCTATTAAATTTTTATTTTTTTATTTTCGATATAATTTTTATTTTTTCTCATTTTCGATATAATTTTTATTTTTTATTATTTTCGATACAATTTTTATTTTTTATTATTTTCGATATAATTTTTACTTTTTATTGTTTTCGATATAATTTTTCTTTTTTATTGTTTTCGATATAATTTTTATTTTTTTACTTCCTCCTATTTAATTTTTATTTTTTTATTTCCACCTATTTAATTTTTAATTTTTTATTTAAATTTTATTTTTTTTGTTTTCTGTTTGATTTTTATTTTATATTTTATTTAATTATTTGTCTTTTTATTTTTCACACTGTTTTATATTTTCATATTTTATTTTTTAATTTCCTATTTAATTTTTATTTGTTTATTTCTTATTTAATTTTTATTTTTTATCTTTATTAATTTTCTATTTAATTTTTATTTTCTATTTAAATTTAATTTTTTTGTTTTCTGTTTGATTTTTATTTTATATTTTATTTAATCATTTGTCTTTTATTTTTTCACACTTTTTATATTTTCATATTTTATTTTTTTATTTTGTTATGTCTTTTTTAATTGCTTTTTTTTTTTTTGAAATTTATCTTATTTTTTGATTTTTATTTTCTTTTTGTACTGGAAACTCCTACTCTTATCACCATCAGTTCTCTTGTAATACACAATTTTCTTGATTATTTGTAAAACTAAATAAAATGTGAAATAATTGTGCCATTTGATTCAAACTTTGGTGATAGTTTTTTCGAAAAAAAAAACGAAATGAAAAATTCAAATATGCAACATTAAGGAACTCTCGTGGAATCTTATTTCTGAAAGACACATTTTGTGCAAGAAAATTTATTGAAAAAATTGTTTTTTTTTTTTTAATAGTGCTCTTATACCATTCAGCTGACATCAATGCGAAAAGGTCCAAACATATATATATATATATATATTGTTATAAAATAAGTTAAAAAATAAAAATAAAAACAACAGAACAAAATAACAAAAATATAAATAAAAAAATATACGCAAAACTAAGAACATACAATGTGCAGCGCATAATTATAGATATACCTCAAAGATTCATTTTTTTTGTATTCATACACGTACATATCACACGCTTAACTCATCTCTAACGACTGCAAAGAATTCTTTCAAATCACAGTAGCTAAATTAGTGCGTGAAGAAAATTAGAAACTCGTGCAATTAAATTTAATGCTTGCTATTTATTTGGAAAACCAAATCCCTTATTATAAAATTAATGCACGTGAAGTGCTTGATTAATTAATTAAAAATAAATATATTCGAATTTTAATGTGTAGGTGATAATTACCACTTTGGTGTAGTTACGACACATAGTAATACTGAAGTATTTACATGAGTGTTCAATTGTTGTTTTTTTTTTTAATTATTTCTAAATAGCAGAAGTAAAGTGATTTTGATTGATAACATTTCACACTTTCATTTTCACCGCCGAGCATACTTTAGAATATAAATAAGTTGAAAACAGATCCCTCAACCCTCGAGACTATTAAAGTATTTACAGGTTTTCCTTACACTCAATTAAATTATTTCAAGTATCTCATTAGCTGCATGTAACTAACTGTGCTTCAGTTTACTTGGTATTAATTAAGATTTCGCAAGCTGAAATACGAGTACACCGGCCAATTGTCGTTGTTAACGGTATAAACTTGTCATTTTAAGCTCTCTACCCAGCAGTACATCTGTTTTTCTATAAATGCAATGTGCAATGGCTTTTGTGCAAAAATATTTACTTAAGATATAATTGATAGCAACGAACGTGTGATGGCAATCAATTACAACGTGGTAAACAACTTCTGGACATTTTTTAAAGGCATAAATAATTATTTATTAAAAAAAAAACAACTATATATATATGTATATAAGAGGCTCCATTTTTGTAAAGGGTGTTTTTATTTCAGACGTGTGGCTTCCATGAGGCAATCATTTTTTCGGAGTTGGTCTTTTTGACAGATCGTACTTGATTTATGTTTAGTTTGGTTTGCCATTTCATTTCAATGAACAGACTTACTCCGGAAGAACGTTTGCAGACGATACAAATTTGCATTTACCAAATAAACGTTATAAACGCCCAGCAGAGTTGGTAATTCGAGCAACTATGAATGGGTTTCTTACACTATCTTTAATCTAGTGGATAATACGCTCCGCTCAGCGACAACGTACAGTGCACAACGAAGACGTATCAAAGAAGACCCGAATGAGTCCATCCGCCATCGCGCGCAACAATTGGAGATTTTGCCGAAGGATCAAGAAGTCACTTTTTGATGTGTTCTATGGACAAAGGAAAACATTGGTTCATATTTCTGCAAATATGAAGCGCGCCATATATGAAGTCATTATTAATGACATATTCGTGAGTGAATTGGAGGATGTTGGTTGCTACAAAAAAGTAGTCCAATATTTGGGTCTCTGCTTGAATTTATTCGTGCCAGCTGTGGGCGTCTTTAAGGACTACAAAAATAACTTGGGATATTTCCTTTTATTTTTTTGATTTTCCTAGTACTATTTGCCAAAAAGTTAATTGAAAATCATTTCTTATTCAGCGGTGCATTCAGATTTCTGAACGAATATGCAGAAGAAAGTAAAAATAGCAATAATACAATATATACATTTAAAATACGTAAATATTACATATAGACGTAATCACTGATAGCCAACACTAAACATGACATAATATCGGGACTAATGGCTAATGTAATTAGTGTACACGGTATGTAATAGGTAAATATATATATTACTTTAAAAGTTGTAAGCGCTTAAATAATAAGCAGATTAGGTGCTTTCGAAAATATCAAAAAAAAAGAAATACACAATTAAAAAATATAATACTGATTGTAATTTATTTTATTTTGTTTTAGAAAAATTCTTGTAATTATTGCAGAAAAAAAAATATTTTTAAAAATACTGGACAAAAGGTATTCCCTTTCCAATTTCGTTTTAATATACAAAAATACTTGTTAAGCATTTTTTTATCTTATCAGAACATTTGTGAAATTCATACTAAAGAGAAAATCACAGCCATTTAAACCTTGCCAATGTCAAAGTCCCAAAAAATCAATAATAAAAATATTCATTTAGTCTACGTCATATCTACGGGTTTTTTTCAGCCAAAATTAAACGCACATAAATAACCACTGAGACAACAGTGAGTAGACAACAGTGTGTTGCTGGTTTTTAGACTAGTTTTAGACTAGTTGTTTTACTTAAAGTGTTCAAAATAACGCTACGCTTGTTTTTGGATTTTATTTTTG